ATTGGGATACATGTTGACAGCGACGGAAACCAGCGCCTTGCTTTGAGCGATTCGCCGTACAAAGTTCAGTTTCAGAGAGCCTGAAGATTGCTCCATCAACAAGAAGTTCGAGAGTGATGTATAATTTATGGGTTTCTCAAGCAGCTGGGTTTCTATATCCTGCTATCTCCGACTAATAAAACAACGAATAAATAAATAAGCTGGTTGAGCTTTTTATGCCCATGCATGCAAGTGTCCTTTTATCTTTTACTTTTTTATATTTTAATTTTGAGACTATATAGTACACACATGCACATATATAGTAATTATCTTACTATCCACTTATAAAAAGTAAAAAAATTCACAAATTTTTATAAATGATTTAGATCGTCTAAATAAAATATGAAGCCATTACGGGCAATGAAATTAGATGTGCAGCCATATCTATGTCTCAATCCCTTTTGGTAGGAAGCATTGAAAAATCAATAGTAGGGAATGAGAATGAGATTGACAAAATTTATTAAAAGAGTATTTAGCATAAGAAATTATTTGTTATATATGGGATTAATCAAATACATGTATGTAGGATTTTGGAACACCATGGGAGAAAGTGGTATTCTCCAATCCTACCCCTGTGGGTTTGTCTAATCCCATTTAATAAGTCATTACTCATGTTAAATATTATTTTAATGATTTTTTTCAATTACAATCTCAATCTCTATCCATTATTTTCAACGCTTCATATGAAATGGGACTTATAAGACCCAAAACCTTCAAAAATTACGCAATTGATTTCACATAACTTGTCATTCATTTAATCCTCTTCAATATCTCTGAAGAGTTTTTCTTTTAAAAAAAAATACTACCTTTGGTGCTTAACACTACTTTCGATCCTCAATACAAGAATTAATTTGATGTTGAATTTGATCCTAAATATAAGACTCCATCCCTTTTATTTCTACTATTTTTTCATCTTTCCCAAGATAGTCCCTGTAGTAATTACATTGCTAAATATTTCATCAAATAATCGTTCTAGCTAATACACTTGATTAATTACAGTATTTTAGGAAAAACAATATATATTTATTACAAACAACTAACTTAATTAATTTTTTTAATTTACTCAAATTGGTTAACAAACTCTTATATTGAGGACCGAAGGTAATATAAGACCAATATAATTGACTAATTTAAGAAAATCAAGAAAACTAAAAATTACCTAATTGTAGCATATGTAATATAATCTCTCTCAAATATTTATATAAATCATTAGCTTATAATCAGTTTATAAGCTAAATAAATTAGTTTGTAAAAAAATATTTTAAAGTAATTTATCTAACTTTTTTAATATCTTTAAATTAGTCATGTAGATTTTATATTAAAACAGGAGGTAGTAGCATACAATCATTTTCCTAACTTCATATGTTTTCTAGTTCCCTTTTCAATCTCCGATAGTATTCTGAAATTTCATGATATTTATTTACATTTAAGTAATCTAAACTTCTAATAACTAAGATTTGGTCTCTACACCCTTTTCATATTCTTTTTTCTAATTCAAACCTTTCTTACTTTACATTTAAATCCCTGTTAGTGTTCTCCGTCATTTAAGCCCTTAGAACTTTCCCATAGCCTCTAAAAGTATCTATGCTATGGCTCCAAAAAAAATTTTAATTTATGATTTAATTCTTGAAAATTATATTATCTTTTCAGGACGACTTTTGTTCAACTGATATTAGTAATTAACTACGTAATCTAAACTTAATTTTAAGCTTCAAAATGCAAACTAATTATTTTAATGATGGAAATCGTAACAGAATTTCAATGGATTAGCGATGATGAAATATAATTTCATTGATACAATTCACTGTTTTTGTAGTGATTGCTCGAGATTGGACACCTCATTTCATTGTCCAAGTTCCATTCATCGTTACAAAAGGAAGTCATGAACCAGAGGAGAAAGGTAGGCGGTAACAATCAATAGATTTTGCAAATTGCACTCTTCAAGTATATTTATATATCTGTGTGTTAGTCAAAGCCGGTGGGCTTCTCGCGAATAAAACAAAAGATAGAGGCCAAGTAAGACGACAAAGGCGAATGCGCTTTCTAATAAATTCTAAGGCTTCTGGAAGCAACTTCATATCGACACCGAGTTTATCCATATTGCCAATTGTATAGCTCGAAATCCTTGACCACTGTCCAGTCCAAGTTTTGTCCATGCAGGATTCCGCCCACTATAAATTCATGCTTAGTTCTCTGATCCTCTCCCATCAATAACCAAACCGAAAATAGAAAGCTTGTTTGATATCAAAGAATGAAGATCACACGTACATTGGTAGCATTCGTTCTTCTCTTTGCCTTGAGCATTGAGCCACTGCTTGGAGGAGCAGCCAATGCAGAACCGGAACCAGTTCTCGATTCCGGCGGCACAAAGCTCCGACCAGGTCGCAGTTACTACATAATTCCAGTTCCCGCCCCCCAAGCGGCGGGCTTGAGGTTTTAAGAATCGGAAAAAAGTGCCCACCTGACGTAATTACCGTGCAAGAGGACCCGAGCCTACCATCATTGTTCATACCCATTGACCCCAAGAAAGGTGAGATTCATGTCTCTACTGATCTGAACATCAAGTTCTCTGTTGGTACACACACAGGTTGTCCTCACTCGTCCAACGTGTGGAGGCTCGATGACTACGATAATACCACCGGACAGTACTTCGTGACGACGGGTGGGGTTGTGGGCAATCCTGGTCGGCAAACAGTGAGGAACTGGTTCAAGATTGAGAAGTATGAAGATGCTTATAAGTTGGTTTACTGCCCAACTGTGTGCAGAACCTGTAAGGTTCAGTGCAAAGATGTTGGGACTTACATTGATAGCCATGGATACGAGCATCTGGCCCTTAGTGATGTGCCTTACAAAATTCAATTTCTCTGATATGCTTTCGTCATATATAAAGTTCAGTTTCAGTTAGCCGGAAGATCGGTTCATCAATAACAAGTTCATCACTATTGAAATGTAATTTGCCCTTAGAGGAACACTGTACTATTTATATATTGCCGTTGCAGATAAAACAATAAATAAATAAGCAAGTATTATTGCCCTCATTGTGTGTTTCCTGTCTTTTTTCCCCCCTTTTCTTACTGAAATTTTTATATTTTATTTTGGGAAAATATAAAACAGTACAAATGTAATAATTATCTTATTATAAAACTTATAAAAATGATATTTAGATTAAAAATATAGAAATAATTAATTTAGATCGTCTAAATAGAATATGGACATTGAAATAAAAAGCGGATGATTGCATATTATCGACCGATCTCTTGAAAATGAAGCCCCTATTCACCAAGGCATAAGCTGTCACTGTTTTCAAGGGCTAATTATCAACACCTTCAAGTCTTCCTGTCAATTAATTAGTTAATCTTCCTTTGCTTTTCAAAATACTGCCAAACGTTCCTTTTTCTTTTTTAATTAAAGAGACAAGCGCTAATGACTTGATGCTATGTAGGATTAAACTCATGACTATCCGTTGCAAGAAAGCTTATATACTACTATCTCCGGTCCTAATTATAAGACCCAGTTGACTAATCTGAGGAGATTAAGAAAAGAAATTAAGTTAGTTATTTGTAATAAATAGGTGTTGTCTTTCCTAAAATATCCTTACTAATTAACTATATTGGCTAGAATTACAACTATTAGAAGGATTACTTTGGAAAAAAAATGTATAAATATGAGAGACAAAGTGGATTGAAATCTTATATTTAGGACCAAAATAAAAGTCAAATAGGGTCTTATATTAAGGACCAGAGGTAGTACTATACTACCCATTTCTTAATATAAAAGCTAGCTAAAGATTCAATTTGATCCTGCTTGTAATTCCCTAAGCAATCCCTATATGATTGCACATATTAAAAATGAAATTGTAATTTTAATGCATGTACATGATTAATAGAAATATTTTTAAAAATATAAATTAGTTATATAATTCTTTTAAAGAGTTCAGTAGATTATAACCAGTAGTCTATGTGCAGGTTTAAAAATCGCAGCAAGATTCTCTTTACGATGAATGAATCCATCCTTCAGGCCTAAAAAGAAATGAATCCACCCTCCCGTCTTTTTTGTTTTGTTTTTATGTCCAAGCACTTGACAGTTTTCAGCAAATATTCGTTTTGGGTCTGTCTATCCACAGACATGGGCCCAGTATTGGGCCTTTGACTTTTGCTTGTCCATCCTTTGACCACATGTTAAGTGACAGCTGCGCCTGTCAATACAGCGAATGAAGACTCCGCTTATTCAAAAACACATGGCGCACAGTGTATCCGTAATCCACCTCATCCACAGACCATAGGTTTAGTTTCCTGTCTTCTTGTCGGCCAGCCAATAAAAATCACACATAGCCCGTGTTCTCCCACACATTACTTTTTTTTTTGAAAAAAAAAACCCGATTTATTATTTTTTATTATTACTATTACAATTATAATTTTACAAAAGTGTTGTATCGTACTCCTTCCAGTCCTATATAAAAAAAAAATTCCTATATATTCTTTTCAAATACACCTTTGTTTTTATAAAGGAGTGTAAGTGAGAGTCTCTCTCACTTAAAATTAGGTATAAATGAAAAATAAATAAATTAAAACTGCAGACATTAGAAGGTGTATGAAAATCATGAAAATAACTAGTGGAAGTTAGAACCGGGCCGTCCGGTCAAAAAAAAAAAAAAACCGGGCCGGTGCAGTATTGATAAGCCAGACGCGGTGAGAGAGACTCACTGTCACTGAACAGTACAGAGCGGAAAAGCTTGAAAAGGATTCTGAATGAAGCAACTTGATATGAAGCAAACAAACACATACAAGGCTTTATCCTTCTGCCAATGGTATTCATATAATAGTCGAAATCATTGACCATAATTCAATTAATGCATGTACAAGACCATGGATTCCGACGACGCTCTCCCTATATAAATTCATGCCCTATTAATTCTCTTCATCTCTCATCACTAACCAAACTCAACACAAACCTCCGACTTCGGAAGCATTCAGATCAAAGAATAATGAAGCTCACATTATTAGCTGCATTATTCGTCCTTGTATTCACCTTGAGCACAGAGCCACTGCTCGGAGCCGCTGATGCGGCGCCTGAACCAGTGATCGATACTTCCGGCAATAAGCTCCGAGCAGGCGTCGGTTACGTCGTACTTCCAGCTCCCCAGCCCCCTGGCGGCGGCGGGCTTTCTCTTGCAAGCATCGGAGAAAAGTGCCCACTTGACGTCGTGGCGGTGGTGGACGATCCTGGCCTAGGCGTGTCGTTTACACCCGTTAATTCCAAGAAAGGTCGGGTTCGCGTCTCCACTGATCTCAACGTCATGTTCTCTGCTAACACAGGTTGTCCTCAGTCCAACGTTTGGAAGATCAACGATTACGATAATACCACGGGACAGTGGTTCGTGACGACAGGTGGGGTTGTGGGGAATCCTGGGAGGCAAACACTGAGAGATTGGTTCAAGATTGAGAAGTATGAAGATAGTTATAAGTTTGTTTACTGTCCAAGTGTGTGCAGTACATGTAAGGTTCAGTGCAGAGATATTGGCATATATGTCGACAGCCATGGAAACCGGCGTCTTGCGCTCAGTGATACTCCTTACAAAGTTCAATTTTTATGTTGTCTTTAGAAGGACATTGCAGTTTCTGCGAGCCTGAAGACCATTTCATCAACGATAAAGTTCATGATGAATAATGTTTCTCATAAATAGTATAAATTGAAGCTTGCATAAATTGAGGATTGATTAGTTATTGCATGTCTCCTTGCTAGTTTGTTTGGTTTTTTTAATGTTACAAAGATGCGAGTTGTTCCTAAATGTATTACTCTATATTTAAGAAATAATAGATATTCTAACTCAAGCCATAAATGATTAACTTCATCCATACCCAGCTAAGTCCACCGGCACACAAGCATTCATAATAAATTGTTATACGATTTCTTAACGCTCTAAAACCATGAAGCCGGCCACTAAAATTCAGTTTATATTCGCCCAAAACTTGCCCCGTTGAACGTCTTGTCTTTGAGTTATTGGACACAGTGGAATATATATTGGTTCTGCTCGTACTGCTAAGATAGGTTAACAGTGAGGTGGGTTTCTGTTTATAAAGCCGTTAGGGTTTGGTTCTGGCTGTTTATCATTTTAATAAGATTTTGACCCGCGGTGAGATCTATAATTTATAATTTTTATGTTTATCTTAAAATCTACATCTATTAAAATAAAAAATATGAAAAAAAAATAATTTTAAATTTGAAATGTTCTTGAATGATCCAGATGGGTGAGGAACACCCCCAGTGAGCACTGAAGCTGCCTCTGTTCATAAAGATATTAATTATGGAGTAGATTAACATGCCCCTCAACTGATGTTAATATGTTTTTGGCTTTTCATAAGTTAATTCCATATACAAATAGACACATAGACAGACAAACACACAAAGATTAGCTGGTGCCCACACAAGTGTTGATTTGAAGAAATTTCTCAACTGAAATTATTGAGTGGTTCCAAGTCCAATCATGCTTTCTTTTTTAGCATCTCCTTTTTCTCCACTGCAATCTTTATCTAGTGCGCCTGCACTTAGCCAAAAAGGTAAAAAGAAAACAATACTTCTAGGTTGAATTGGAGGACTTGGTTGAGATAGTAGCTATAGGTTAAATTTTTTGAGAAATTCCTGTGGGGCTATGGCTAATTAATGCTAAAATGGAACGACAATATTTAAATGTGAACAGGTTTGTGCTTTGGGTAATGGGATGATGTAGAACGGATCACAGAAATGCAATATATTAAAGTTGATGTACGTACTTGCGAAATAAACACTAATTAAGTTAAACAAACGCCTGCTAAATCCACTACACACCACACACATAACTATATAAAACAAGTATCCCAATATTCCTTAGGGAACTTTTATATACGAAGAATCATATCTTTGTGATCTCTGAATCTTCATGAAAATATATTCTTTTCTTAAAGCTCCACTTTACCACTATCAAAAATATATTTTCTAGAAAAGAAGTACATCCATTACCAATTATTTATGAATTTTAGTAGTTTACTTATATGCTCCCTCTGTCATAGCCGTAAGATATATTTTGTAATATAATTTTCACTACAAAGTTTAACTTATATACTGTCAACACGGATCAATCTCCATTATATTCATGTTTAAGATATGTGGCAAAAAAAAAAACAGATAATTAAGATATATGTGGGGCCACAATTTGGGGGCCAAAAAAACATATTCTGTGATCTCTTTGCTACTTTTCACTTAACTTTTTATATAAATGTTAAAAAAATATTTAAATCTTTACTGTTCAGCTAATTTTAATGAAATTTTTATCATAACATTTTTGTCAGTATTTTATCAATATGTAATTAATCAAAATTAGTTAAATCCAAGTTGCCATACCTGATATTATTAACAATTGTTCATAAAAAATATTTGCAATTTACGCATAAAAAAATTACAAATATTAGTTACAAATTCAACCATCAATTTTAAGGGATATTTAGATCGTGACACTTTTTATTTCTAGAAAATGACAGAAGTTAATTTCAGGACTTTAAGATCCCTAGTTATAATAAGATTCATGGTACAGTACGGTCTCTATTTGCCATTCACCTTTTATTTTAAGAGCTTATATTTAAATAATAAAATAATATTATCTTCTCCGGAGTCCAGCGAAACCGCATTCCTTCCTTCTATAAATTAGACCTCGTTGTTCCTCCATTAATTCACAGCAGCAACAAGGAACATCCCGAACCATGAGTAGTATCCCAATTCTTCCCATCCTCTTCTTCTTACTTCTTTCCTTCCCCGCGAAACTACTGTCCTTAAGAGCTGCGAGTTCGGATCCAGTGCTTGACACTTCAGGCAAAGAGCTCCAACCCGGTGATTCTTCCGGCTACCGGAGGCTCTTTTACTCTCGCCGGCTATCAGAACGACACCTGTCCCCTTGTGGTCGTCCATGCCCAGTCACAGAAAGCTGATTCCCTCAAGTTCCCGCCGGTAACATTCTTGCCGGCTGATCCGAGCGCCCATGTGGTTCAAACCTCCACGAACGTGAACGTAAAGTTCTCTACGACGTCGTCGAAACCCTGTGGGAGCTCAATGGTGTGGAGGCTGCTGAAAAGGATAACGGAAGCCAGATTTATTAGCACAGACGGCGTTGAAGGAAATCCTAACGTAAACACCTTCGTGAACTGGTTCAAGATCGAGAAATTATCTTCCGACGGTAAAAGCGGCGGCGCCTATAAGCTCAGGTTTTGCCCAACGGAAGTCTGCAAATGCTCCGTCACGTGCAGCGATCTTGGCATTTTTGTTGCAGATGACAAGAAACGGTATCTGGGTCTGGCCGACAAGGTCGAACCGATCAGCGTTGTGTTTAAGAGGGCGAGCTAATTCATACTTATAACTAGTGATAAATAATGTTGGTGATCACTTAATTAAACCTTGTTTAGCAGCGGTTTATGTCGTCTGAGAATTTATAAATTTTAATATAATGATGTAGTATAATATACTGCCTCTTTCGTCCTAGGTGCCAAATATAGGAGCTAAACCAACTGATAAAAGTTTCACTTTGATTCTAAATATAAAATTATAGTTTACTTTGCTTCCCAAGTTTATAACTTTTCTTAATTATTAATTGCATATATTAGGAGGCTTGTAATAAATAGATAATTTGAATACACATGATTAAATAAGATAATTTTAAAAAAACAAGGATACATGTATGCTAGAATAATTAACTTAACTAGTTTTTTTTAATATTCAAAATTACTCAAGTATCTTTTATACTAATGATTGGAGCTAATAATTAATTAATTAATCAGAGTTGATGAATCCCGTTAATAGTGGAGTTTGATTCTCTCCACTTTCCTTTCCCCTCCATTTTTTCAATTTTTCTCCACCTTTCATCTCAACAATCTGTCAAGCATTAAATTGAAATTTGAGCACTCCAATCAAGAATCGCACCACCAACAACATCTAACAATAGCAATTTGAAAAAAGAGGGTGAAAAAAAAATGCCCCATGCTTATATATACTAATTGAGGTGATAGAAGTAGGAAAATGTGTTGATAAATATTATTAATAATATTTGTGCATGCAAGTTTTTCTTGTGTTTTTTTTGGACTGAAACGTTTTTTTTTTGGGTGTTATGGAATATAGAGTATAGAATTACGCGGTGTCCGCAATGGAAAAAAAATCGTTCAATCTCCAATTTTGATAATCATCATTCATTCATTTGCCTTGTTGAGTTGTTTTTTACGGTTTTACCCAAACAATTGGAAACTAATTAGCTGTTTTTAATATTCCATTGCCGGCCGACAACAATTTTTGTTCGCATCACCTTATTATTTTTTCTTCCTCGTACTTTTTTATTGTCAACTCAATATAAAATAATCTGACATTATTCCATTTGCAGGGCTGCGGCGCGTGCATATACAATGTATAAATATGTGTGTTGATGAATAAAATAATATTCTCCCAATGATTGTTACTATAATATTACCTCTTGTTCTTAATGTAAAAGTTAGTTGATTAATTTAAATAAATTTAAAAAATTAATTAAGTTAGTTATTTACAATAAATAGGTGTTGTCTTTCTTAAAATATTCTTACTAATCAAGTATATTGGCTAGAATTATTATTATTATAATGACTCTCTAAAAAAAAAAGATAAATATGATAAACAAAGTATATCGAAGTTTTATATTTAAAATCAAAATAAAAGTCAAACGAGTTTTTATATTAAAAACAGGATGTAATAATTATTAAGAAATAACTACATGGAAATATATCAAAAAGTCAAAAACGAAACACAATATGATTAGAATTGCTTTTGAGAAGTGTCCAATTGATAGTCAAATTACTACTAGCTCTGGCTTTGGTCTTTAATATAAAAACTTGTTTGATTTTTATTTTGGTCATAAATATAAAACTTCAATCCACTTTGTCTCTCATATATATTCTTTTTTTTAAGATAGTCCTTATAATAATAGCAGTTTTAACTAATACACTTGATTGACAATGGTATTTTAGGAAAGACAACATCTATTTATTACAAATAATTAACTTAACTAGTTTTCTTAATTTACTCATATTAGTCAATGAGTATAAGATCTAATTTGACTTTCAATTTGGTCATAAATATAATATTTCAATCCACTTTGTCTATCATATTTATCCTTTTTTTTTTATAAAAAATGACTCTTATAGTAGTTGTACATGTTAAAGATCCATCAAATGATAGTTCTAGCTAATACACATGATTAGTAAGGGCATTCTAGGAAAGACAACACATATTTATTACAAAAACTAACTTAACAAATTTTCTTAATCTACTTAAATTAGTCAACTAACTCTTATATTAAAGAATGGAAGTAGCATATATACACACACACATAACCGTTTAATTTACTTGATCTAAAGCATCACAATTTGCCACATTACCCACACAACAAGGCACGATGCACTTTATCATCCTGGTGCTATATATTGTTTCATGACTCATCAATCCACTTCTTGCACTATCCTGTAATCACTAGCATCAATGCAAAATAATGGGGAGAAGAGAACAGGGGCACAAAAAATTATTTAATTATATTTATAATCCTAAACGTAATAATAGAAGACAATATGAGCAAATCACAATATTTAAATAAAGTAAGGACTTGTTTGCAGCTGCTTATATATTAAGTGTTTATAAACATATTCATGTAAGTGGAAATAAAATTTTTCTCGCACATTTATTTCATTAAAAAAACTTTTTAATGGATCCTACTGCCATTCTAAACAAGCATTAAAAGTTAATGACTCTGGTAATGTAAAAAAGACAATTTATACAAACCAAACTTTTAATCCAAATCAAATCTAAAAAGCAATAAATTTTCATAATCTGAAAGAGACCATGCAATCAGTATAAGAAGGCCCACATCTTATTGTGTTTAAGGCTCTCTGTGTCAGAATTTTCCAAGCTCGCTCCAAACTCTCGGAAAATTATGTCAGCAGGATGGATCGAAATTGTTTTGCAAACCAAGTAAAAAGACCGAAAAAAACGGGTGCAGTCTAAAAAAAGTCATGTCAAACAAATCCAGGTCAGAACAAAACACCTTTATATTAGGCTTGATTGATGACCAAATCATTTAGGTCTTGTTTGGTAGGAAGAGTTAAAAATAAGGGATTAGGATTGTGATTGTAATTGAAAAAAATTATTAAAATAGTATTTAGCATGGGTAATTGCTTGTTATATGAAATTAGGCAAACCCATAGAGATGAGATTGAGGAATACCTTTTTCCCCCATAGTATTCTCCAATCCCACATATATGGGTTTGGCTAATCCCATATAAGAAGCAATCTCTTATACTAAATACTCTGTTAATAGATTTTCTTAATTACAATCCCAATTCCAATCCCTCATTTTCAACGCTTCTTACCAAATGTAACATTAGTTCTGAGTTAAGGACAAATCCTCCATGAACAAATAGAAAGATTAAAAACTTCTAAATTTTTGGGAGCATAGATCACATAAAGATGTAAAAATAAAAGATAAAAAATCCAAAAATAATTAATTTAATCATAATTAACCAAGTCAAACCCTCAACTATATAAGGTAGAGTGTGTCATGATCCTACTTCTTCGTACTCAAGCGCGTACCGCCATTACTTATCATGGCTAATAATAAGTGGGGTTCTAATGCAATACACATAATCTAAAAAGTAAGATAAAATGTTCATAACTCATGACTCGTGGCGACAACTAAATATGCATTGATTTTGAGTTAAAGTTGAGTTTTTATTTGATTTTGATATACTTCGATTAGAGTTCCACACCATGCGAGTACCTGGCCTATGAGTTTGTGTTCTCCATGATTAATGTGTCTCTCGTTCTTCTTCAGTTTGTTTTTTTTTTTAGGCGTAGCAAGTTTGTAGTTTGACCAAGTTTCATTTTTATATTATTTCTGCCTGAATTTTCTATTATTTTCTTTTTCTGAATTTATTTTGTGGGTTAATTTTCTGCTTGATTTGAATTTCTACTTTGATTAAATTTAATTTCTCATGCGCCTCCCGGCTCCCCGCGGGGGATAATTCATGCCAAACAGAAAAATGGGGAAAATAAAAGAAGAAAAAAGGTTGGTGGTCTGGAAAGCTTGGGTTGGCATTAGGCGGGTGTTTTTAGCGCAACCTGCTAGAATTATATCTTAATGTGGGCCAACCTCCAACTCACAGATGTGCTTGTATTACTAGCTCTAATTTAATTGATCATTAAGATATATAATTTTTGTACACAAAAAAAGATATATAATTTAATTCATAATAATTAAATAATTATTTTAGTAACAATTATCGGGATAATATAATATTATTTTATTCATCAACAAATTGTAGAGCATAACAGGAAAAAAAAGGTGGACCATTATTCAGTTTACAACAACAAAATACACACAGAGGCAAATGATCATCAAATTAAACTTATCGCCACCTGCCACGTCTTGAACTTGAACTTGAACTTGGTATTAACATATTCACATGAATTGTATAAAATAAAAAACACACACAGAGGCACACAGGAAAAAATGAACGCAGACAAATACTACTTGCGGTCTTTAATACAAGAGCTAGTTGATTAATTTTAATAGGTTAAAAAAACTAGTTAAGTTAGTTATTCATACTAAATAAGTGTTGGCTAGAACTATTATTATTATAAGGACTAGCTTAAAAAAATAGATAAATATAAGAAACAAAATAAATTGAAATATTATAATTAGGATTAAAAATAAAAGTTAAAGAAGCTTTTATATTAATAATCGGATATATTAAGGAGTACACACATACATACACGCGTTTTCTTCCCCTTTTATCATGTGACGAAGCAGGTCAACTTTTTCTTCTTCAAATTCGTATCATTAGTGGTGGCACCTTTTCTTTTCGACAATGTTGTCAGTTAGATTATTAGTTAAAAAGAAAAGGTTACAAGGAACAGTACAAAAACTAGGATTATTAGTGGCATCGAAATCACTCCTTTGAGGTACTTGAGAGCACAATGAACTCCCAGTAGAATAAATTCTACTTAATGGGAGCTCTGCGTTATAGTAAATTAAATTCAATTCTCAAACGAGATGATCAGCTGCTAAATAGGCTTAATTAAGTTACCAACATCATTATTTATCATAAGCTAATAATTATAATAACTATAGAGAGCTATCTAGGTCGCTCACTTGAACACAACACTGATCGGTTCGAGCTTGTCGGCCAGACCCAGATACCTTTTCTTGTCATCTGCATCATAAATGCCGAGATCGCTGCACACAACGGAGCATTTGCAGATTTCAGTGGGACAGAACTTGAGCTTATAGGCGCCGCCGCTTTTACCGCCGCCAGATGATTTCTCGATCATGAACC